TATTTCAAAAGAAAATTGTATTTCATGAAAAAAAATGTATTTCTTATCTGATATGTATTTCAAAAATATATTATATCCAATATCTAATTATAGAACATCAACTAAATAGGATTTCAAATTATTATGTATTTCAAGCATCCAACATAAAAGATCAAAACTATTCAATCATTTACTGTTTGTATCCCAAACAGATCACAAAGTAAAAAATATATTTTGAACTTAATTGTATTATAAATTGTATTTGCTTGAATATACAATTTTTATTACATATATTATATTTAGATGCAAATGTATTTTCGAACACAGACAAGAAATACAAATTTTGTATCAACAAACATAGAAATTTGAAACGGATAACATACAAATTTTGATCTTTTAATTGTTGCATCAAAGTCAAAATGTTTTCAGAACAAAATTTTGAATTGTTGTATCCAAAACACTTTGAATTTGAAATAATCTTTCAAAAGAATTCCAAATTTTGGACTGTAGCAACACATCTAATAACCTTGGTGTTGTTCAGCACCAATTCAATAGCTTGAAGCCCAACCTCCATTTTTATGCTTATTTGTTTGTACCGATTTCCTTTTATTCGGTAAATTTTTTTATCAATTGTTTTGTCTTCTACGGAGAAGTAGGATCCTCAATAAAGAATTGAAAGTCGTAAATGAAAGATGAGGAAGATGAGAGAATTTGTCGTCTTAGTCTCTTAATATGTATCGATCTCCTTTTTTCTGGCAAAAACCTTGATCAGTTGTCTTGCCTTCTATGAAGAAGGAGGATCATCAATGGAGAAAGTCGTTAATGGATGATGAGGAAGACGAGAGAATTTGTATCTATTTTAGTCTCCTAATCGGTAAAGTAAGTAATAATATATTTTCAACACAATTTACTTAATTTGAATGATTCTCTCCCTTGATTTTCTCTAATTTGTTATTTTCTTAATTGTATTTTATTAAGTTAAATCAAAGAAAAACAAATACATAAATCAACAATATAACAAATTAAAATATTGACATTTTTAATAAATATTGAAAGTCTGACTAAGTGGTCCTATTAAATACTAAAATATTGACATTTTGAAATTTTTCTTTTTTTTTTGTGAATTTGGTCCTTAGATTCAAGAAAAAACAATGAAGTCAAATTTTTGTACAAAATATATAAGATTATATATTCTTGTATATGAGTGTATATATATCTTTTATAGTTTTGTATAATATTGTATATTGGATATATAATATTATATATCCAGTTTTTAAATAATTTTGAAAAATAAATACGGCAAAGGGTCATATTTGACCTTGACTCTCACAAATAAGTCATATTTGTCCTTTGATATACTTTTTCGACATATTTATCTTTTCCGCCCACTTTCAGGGTAATATTTGCCCTTATTTTCTAAAAAATTGATCATATTTATCCCTACAATGTTAAATCCTCATGTCATCAATATATTTGCACTTGTACTCTAAAAAAATATCATATTTGCGCTTAAACTCACAAAAAGGACCATATTTGCTTTGTACTACTATCACAAATAAGTTATATTAGCCCTTTCCAATACTTTTTCAACATATTCCCCTTTTCATCCAATTTTAGGGTGATATTTTTCCTTGTACTCTAAAAATGGTCATATTGATCCCTATGGCGTTAAATCCTCATGTCATTAATATATGTGTATGTATATTCTCAAAAAGGGTCATATTTGCTCTTATGCTCTCACAAAAAAGTCATATTAGCTCTTTGCTATATTTTTTAATATATTGGCTCTTTTCATCCAACTATAGGGTGATATTTTTCCTTGTAGTTAGAATGGTCATACTTAGCCCTATTGTACTCTAGAAGGACAAATATAACTTATTTGTGAGAGTACAAACACAAATATGACCCTTTTTATAAATATCAATATGAAAGTTTTGTATGGTATTGTATACTAGATGCATATTATTGTATATAACAAATTGAATTTTGGTAACAGATTTGCAAGGTAAAAAATTGGCTGTATTTTCTAATATAAGTTATGTAAGAGTACTTTTATGAAATTTTCTGATTTACAAAGAGAAATAAGAGTCAAATACAATAAAATGGTATTTTAGAAGCTTTGGACATGAAGCTGGTTTGCCCGAGAGGTTAAGGGGGAAGACTTAAGATCTTCTGCACACAAGTGCGCATGGGTTCGAACCCCATAGCCAGCATTTTTTATTTTATTTTTACATGAATAGGAGTGGACGTTTGGTATTCAGAATTTTTTACTTTCGAGTTTGGTAATTAGTAGCTAAAAGTAGATATCAAATATTAGATATTTAAATTTTGATTAGGTAACTTAGGCCAATCAAACTTCAGTTCAGTACGGTATTGGGTAATAGGTTTGTTCAAGATTGAATCGAAATCGATAATTCTAATTAAAAAAAGGTTTTGGTTTATCCTTCATATTGGATTATTGATTTAGCAACTTTGGTAAGGGTTTTGATTATTTTTTTTCTTATCAGATTATCGATTCTTAACGGTTTGAGGTTTTCTCTTAACGGGTTAGCCAATAAGCCGGTAGTAAATTAAATAACTATATTTATACCATTTTTGTATATAAAGTCCTTCACTTAGAGTTAGGTTTCCTACTTTTATTTTTTGTAGTCACAAATACTTGGTTATTCTACAATGTAAAAATGTTCGTTTTTGAGCAAAATGTAACTTGTAAAACTCATGTGCATGATTCATTTGGTTTGTCACAAGTGATTTTTAATTTTTTTTTTGTATAAAATCTTAACAGTTTAACTGATAAACCAAAATGATAGCGATAAAAAACGTACAAATCAATAACCAATAAGCCAATATCTTAATGATTTGATTACGGATTAGCATCTATTCGAACCGACAACTAATAAGAAAAATTGATAACCTTTAAAATTGAACCAAAGCAACCATACGTAGTCCTAGGTAATACCGCTTTAAAGTTGTAGCCGATTGTATTATAAATTTAAATCTATTACATTTTATCTTATCATTTTTCATGCTAGGTTGTTCACATGTCAATTATAACTATACCCACTTCACATGTTTGAATAGGAGCGGACATTTGGTATTCAGTTCAAAAATTTTCAATTTCGAGTTTAATAATTGGTAGCTAAAAATATATTTCAAATAATAAATATTTAAATTTTCATTTGGTAATTCGATCAATCAAATTTTAATTAGTTCGATACGGTATTTGGTAATATCGTATTGCAGTTGTAGTCGATTGAATTACAAAGTTAAATCTGTTGTATCAATTATTTTTATTTTTCTATGTTGAGGCACAACATATAGAAGATCAACAAGCAGAGGCAGAGCCAGAATTTTCGATAAGGGGGTTCAAAATCTAAAAAAATAGACATATGAAATAGCCAAAGAGGGTTCAACATCTATTATATATACCTAAAAAATTATTTTAACCATATAAAAATAATATAATTTTCCGCCGAAGGAATTTCGGATGAACCCCTTGAACATAGTGTGGCTCCTCTATTGTAGACAAGTAAGAAAACATCAAGAAAAGTAAATTGGCATATCTTAAAAAAAATATGATTTGGGTTGTTTATGTTTAGTATTTTAACCTTTTTTGTTAATTTGTTCTAATGAGTAATGGACGAAACCTATTGATCATATATGACCCTCATTAAATAAATAATACGGCATTTGGGAAGTAACAAATATCAAATCACTAATATTTCATACCAAATCTGAATATCGTAAATCTAAAATTTTACTTCTGAATATTATAACGAATGCCAAATTACTAAAATTTTGGTTTGATTCTGAAATTCGATATTTGATATTTTGTGTTCAACCCTACATGTATCCTTAGGTTGACTTAACAAAGTTTAAGAATTTTTTATTTCTTTAAAATTTATGATTTAAATAAGTTAGATATTTGTATGACAATAACTAAAATTAAATTCAGTTATATAAATTAGGGTAAATTTCATATATGACAAACTTATTTGATTAAATAACATTATATTGGTATAGTTTACATAATTACACTATATGGGTATAGTTTAGTTATTTTAGGTATCTTTAGTTTTGTATATAAAGGTTTTTATTTTTTTTATTTATACAATTCTATTTTAAAAAGTGGTTTGTAACTGAAGCGTTAAATATTGTAACAATAAATTAAGATAATGCCACAATTTTAGGGAAACGTCCCTTTTTTTAAGCTAAATGTTCAAATTCAAAAAAAAAAATTCATACAGCAATTGAAACGAAAATATTTTTTTTTTTGCTCTTTGTGAAACTGAAGTTCAGCAATTTTTGCAATTGAATACAGGTAAGTTTTTTTTCGATGAAATTTCTTGTTTATTATTGCAATAACTATACAATGTTAAATTGGATTTAGAAATTGAGATTTGTTTTCTTTCGTTATTGTGATGTGGTTTTCTTTTTTTAAAAAATCAAAATATGATTTTGTTAAGCTGAATTTGTGTTCATTCGTTAGTGTGATATGTTTTTTTAAAAAAAAAATTCAAAATATGATTTTGTTAAGCTGAATTTTCGTAATATACAATTATATACTGTTCATGTAATTGTATATGTCATTCGCATAATTTGTATATTTTGTAATCGAAAAGATATAATCAGTGGTCATAATTGTATATTTGTGTTCATTCGTTAGTGTGATGTGTTTTTTTTAAAAAAATTCAAAATATGATTTTGTTAAGCTGAATTTTCGTAATATACAATTATATATTGTTCATGTAATTGTATATGTTATTCGCATAATTTGTATATTTTGTAATCGAAAAGATATAATCAGTGGTCATAATTGTATATATTCAAAAAACATGTGTTTTTTTTATAGATTTATATACTATTGTAGATGTAGTGTTTGTATATTAAAAAGAATAATAGTATATAATTTCTATAATTTGATTGTATAAATATTGTTGTATTAATTGTATATATGATCTATTTGAATTATTTGAAATATATATATATATATATATATTCTTGTCATAAATGTACGGATAATGGGCTCATTAGCTATCTTGGTTATGCATTCTGGAAAATGGGACGATACAAATAGTTACGTTGATTATACTATAGAGGGAGTAGTTTTTAAGGAACAGTCAACGTTTCTTGATTCTTATACTACTATTGCCAAACAGATTGGTGTTGATATGAATAATAAGACTTTGAAGATTGAGTACAAGGTTGAAGAAAGCAATAAACGAATGGTCATACACAATGACATGGGTGTCAGAGTGTACGTAATGCTAAAAAAGGTCAACACTGATTTTAACAAATTTCCTATTTGTATAACTATTTTGAATTCATGTAATAAACAGATTTCTCAGTGTAAAGAGTTGGGGGTGTTGGCAACTGTTGGAGAAAATGATTGTCCTGATATGATTGTTGTTGAACCGGAGGATACAAATGTTGCGTTTGTATCGATTGATACAACTTGGGTGATTTCAGATGAATCTAATAAGCATGTTAAGGTTGATCAAGTATACAAGGAAAAATCAATTTTGAAAGCAGTCATGGAAAGATATGCGATTAAAGAGAGATTTCAGTATAAAACTACTCGGTCAAACTCAACAAGGTACTGTGACTCTCGAAATATTGACTTTTAAACTGTATAAATGTTTGTATTGCCTATTGTAAACTAAATTTGTATACTATATTAAAAATCAAATGCAGCTACACTATGGAATGTTATTCTAAAGGATGTGAATGGTTAATGAAGGCCTCTAATATCAACAAATCTGGAATGTTCAGAATTCGAGCATTCAACCGAAAGCATACATGTCTTTTAAAAGATAGAGTTTATTCGCAAAGACATGTAACTAGCAATTTAATAGGAGGGATTGTGAAACCTAAATTTGTAGATCATAAACGTAAATATACACCAGCTGATATAAGAAAAGATGTTAAGATTGATCTAGGAGTTGATGTTAACTATATGTTGGCTTGGAGGGCCAGGGAGAAAGCATTGAAAGCTTTGAGGGGTACACCAGCTGCATCATATGCAAAGTTACCTGCGTATTTGTATATGATGGATATCACTTACCCGGGGTCTCATATACGTATGAAAAAGAGTACGAATAATGAGTTCTTGTATCTATTTGTTGCATTGAATACATTATCCAAGGATTCAATCATTGTAGACCAGTAGTCGTGGTGGATGGTAGTCATCTGAGAGGTCCATATAATGGGACATTTGTTGCAGCAAGCACGACATATGGCGCAGGTATATACATACATACATACATATATATATATATATATATATATATATATATATATATATATATATATAATAATGTATATGTATATACTTGAATCTGTTGTATATGTACATTTAATATATGATTTTGATATTATTGTAGGACATATATTTCCACTTGCGTATGGTATTATTGATTCAGAAAATGATGTTGCGTGGACTTGGTTTTTTGAGCAACTTAAAGAAGCATACGGTGAGAGGAGTAACATGTGTGTTGTGTCTGATAGAAATGAGAGCATTATAAAGGCTGTTACAAATGTATACAGTAATGTCCCACACTATGCTTATATGCGGCATTTATGGAATAACGTTCAGAAAAAAGTTTAGAAAATCTCATGAGAAGTTATCTGGTGTATTCTATACAATGGCAAAAACTTGCACAAAGAATGAATTTGATATGTTAATGGATACTGTAGAAAAAGAAGATATAAGAGTGAAAGAGTATTTGGATTTAGCTGGATATGAAAAATGGGCTCTTTGTTATGCACAAGTACATAGAGGATGACACATGACATCAAATATTGTTAAGAGTATAAATGCAGCACTTGTTTCAGCGAGAGAACTACCTATTTTTGAATTTCTCGAAGAGGTAAGGTTATTATTTGGAAGGTGGAATCATGACTACAAGAAGGAAGCAACCTGCACATTCACATCATTGATTGGAAAATACCATGACATACTATCAGACAATGAAGCATTGAGCACAAGAATGACGGTAATATTTAAGAATAAGTATATATTTAGGAGTGTTGACCAAATTTAATTGTATATTATATATTAGTGTGAACATCATTTCATTTAATTGTACTTATAAATGAGCAGGTTGTACCGTCAACGGAATATGTTCATAATGTTAATGATGATGGGAGATATTTTGTAGTCTATCTAATAAAAAAAACTTGCACATGTGGAAGATTTCAGTACGAGGAAATACCTTGTGAACATGCTTGGGCGGTATTGAAATGGAAGAGTCTACCACCAGATGAATATTGCTCAGATTTATACAAACCAAAGACAATGTTGAAGACATATAATATGCCTATACATCCTTTGCCGGATGTAAAAACATGGTTGATTTTGGATAGCGTTATTGTTGATGACGTATTACCTCCAAAATTTAAACGACCTCCTGGCAGGCCAAAGGGTAAGCCTCGGAAAAAAACAGCAAGAGAGTTATCAAGGATTAAGGGGAAAAATACATGTAGCACATGTGGAATGGCAGGTCACAATAGGTGTTCGTGTAGAAATAAGCCAAAAGATGTTTAAGGCTGATTGTTTTTTCCTAATTAAATTTGAATTGAAACTATATGCATTATGAATTAATTGAAATCTTTGTTTTTGTATACATATTACTTAAACTACGTCTTTATTTGATTATGTGTTGTACATTAATGTGTGTGTTGTATGACATACAAAAGTAAATATTATACTCATTAAGTTTTAGCATATACGATATACAATAATTAATTTGAACAACATATATAGTTGTTATACAAATGCGTAAATTAAATTTGTATATATATATACGCAACATGTAAAATGTTCAACACTAAACAAGTAGAGATTATAAAATAAAACTCTTTTATCTTATATACAAATAAAACATGAACAACATATATTGATATGCATATACAATTAATAAAAACATTGAATAAGTGCTAGTATATTCATATATACAATTTAAAACCTGAACAACATATATCTTTTGTTATACAAATTCGTAAATGCAATTTGTACATGTATATATTTATTCAATAAGATTATATATGTATATTTATTGCAACCAAATTGTATGTGCATATACAATAAAATACATAGTATACGTGCTAGTGTGTACTATATACAAATAAAAAACTGAACAAAATATAGCTTTTGTTATACAATTTTGTAAATGCAATTTGTATATATATATATATATATATATTTTATAAATAAGATTGTATGTGCATATTTAGATTACATATGTATATATATATATTCAACTAAAATGTATCTGTATGTATTTATTTGTATAATACGTTATACAACATTACACTAATATATAGTATATACCTTATACAATGAAATGAGTGTGACCATAAAATATATACAATTAATAAAGTGAATAACATATATCTTCGTTATAACAATTCGTAAATGGAATTTGTATATATGTACTCAACATGATAAAATGTTCAACAGTAAAGAACAAGATCTTATAAAAAAAATATAAAACATTATTAGCCTAAAATATATTAATTGCATTAATTTGTATAGAAAAATGTGTGTGTGTGTGTGTGTGTGTGTGTATATATATATATATGTAAGACACTTTATTTTAAAAGTAGTTTTTATACAATTAAATTTTATATATATATATATATATATATATATATATAGTACGTTATACCAAATAACACAAAAAGATAGTGTCATATATTTAACACTAAAATGATAGTTCAAAACAAGGACAATGATATTACGAGTTAATTAAAACAAAAGTTATGGTAAAATTGTTTAGAATCTACAACTAATATTTAAACTGTCAACTAAAAACCAAAACAATGTTACAACTAAGGTGTAAAACTAATGGATTGTAATCCTTTCAGAACTGTTGTTTTCTGTGCGATTCCTGACGGGTTTTAAAGGCGCTTCACTATCACTGACAGCTCTGGCTTGTATCTTTTGATTGCCGTAATTCCACAACAATTCACCGTATCTAAGGCGAATTTCTTCTGGGTCTAAATCTGCTGGAATGTCTTTCCTCTCACTCAAAAACTCCGCGTATGACGCAACATACACTCCACAGTCCCTAAAAAAATATACGAAAAAAAAAGTTCAAATGTTATTATACTACTTAAAGTGTAACTATGTTCAATATAATATAAATTTATTGAATTTTTGAACTTACAAACTAGCAGCTGGTTGTTGGGAAAGGTCTTCCACATATACAATTTCGAATGTATCATATACGGTATGACCTTGATATCGATGGTGGCTTGCAATATCCAGACCTTTCTCCAGATAGAAATCAGACTTTACAAGATACATTGCTATAAGTTGTGCATACTTCTTGATGTGATTGACAACAAATGAGTGGTGAAGAGAATTATTGATTGAGTCATACACCTTGATGCATCGATCATTGAAAGATATGACAATCAGAATCCAATGTAACCTGCCTTCTAAGTTAACCAGGATGAATACATCATCGACTGTGTGTCGTGGTGCATACGCTAGCATCTTGTATCCAGTAATATAATCAATAATCATCTCGTCTAAGACTTCCTTAGAAAGGTCACCTTTTATTCCATAATATACATTCCAAGCATTTAGAAAAACAGAGTTGAAATTGCAACATAGATTTGTGAATTTGTATGTGCTACTGTTGGAGTATTTGGCCTTTTTCTTTATATAGTAGAATAAGACATCTATGTGTTGTGATATAATGAGTAACAATGTTATAATTTATACATTATACAATTTCATTTAATTTAAACATTTTTAATAATATAAAAACGGAAACATACCGAGTTATCAATCAACTGGCGGTCAAACCCGATATTGTAGAACCAATTCTTGTTGTCAATTGTCGCTACACCAAAATTAAACAATTGTGGTAATGTTGCCTTTCCTTTCTTGTAGTGATCCTCCGCATAGTTCCTATTATACATAATACAAAATAACTACACAAAACAAACAATTAAAAATGCAAGTGTATACAAATATATATATATATATATATATATATATATATATATATATATATATATATATATGTTACTTTTTGTAATGCTTGACGAGTAAGTCTTCTTTCAGCCATATCCAAAAATTTGAAAACAAATCAGACTCTTCCGTATCAGACAATGAAACAAAAGGATGTTTCATGTAAAACACAACTGGTTGTCGGGACGAACTACCTAAAAAGATATGTATATAAATATTTACATCATGCAAACAATATGATTATTTATGAAAATGTAAACATAAAAAATTGTTGCTTACCAGCGTCCGACCCAAACGAAGTCATGTACGGAGATATGTTGAATGGACCTGGGCGTCTATGCCTAACAGCTGGCATGGGTGTTACTTCAGCTTCAACTTGTTTTTGTAATACAATGTTTTGCAGTGTGTTCACGCTTGGAAGAAGATGGTCTGGCAATTCATCCTGTGATTCAGTTACAACTGTATCCTGATTTGAATCAGGCATGTATACCATTTGTATAGGCGCTGCAACTATAATAGACTCCTCTGCTTCTGCAATACGCTCGTGAGATGCAGCATTGTATATGTTATATATTACCCGACTGTTTGAGCTACTTTCAGTTTCCCTTTGGGCATTTTGCTGGGCATCCACATTAGCATACAACACTAATTGATCTTGTGAGGCAGTTCCACTTACATCATTCAAATTATCACCCAAAACAACTTGATCCAACAGTGGGGAATTCTGGTTTAGTTCATGCAAGTTATCTCCCAGCTTAAACAGAAAATAATAACTTAAATATCCAACAAATTGATTATAAAACATTATAATAAATTTTAAAATGTATATAATCATTTACGGATACCTCACGATCTTTTAATGCACTTGGATGACCTATCGGGTTTTTTTGTGCACCTAACTGTGAAGACTTGGTATTTAACTGATGAACACGAGTGATATGCGTTTCTTGCATGACATCTTCAAATGTAGCCTGAAAATAATGAAAACAATATAAGAAAATATGTTGTAGTATATTCAGTATAAAAATCAGTAATATGCTGATTTATAATTAGAGCTATACTATTATATACTTCTTAATTATTTAATTTCAATGTGTGTATAAACTGAAATTACTTATATAAAATTTATTTCATTTCAATATGTGTATAAACTGAATTAATGTATAAATATTTCAAAATAATACCTCTTGTTCTGTCAAATTTGCAGATTGACTTTGGGGTTCATGTGGAGTGTATGTGGGCTGGTGATGAATATCTCCGATGGGTGATTGTTGATCATCATTGATGACATTAACCTGAAAAAATAATTATACAACTGTATTCATTAGTATAAAGTATATTGTATATAAAAAATTAAAACAAAAAATTTATACATGTGATACCTTTGAATTCATGGCTTCCAACACTGTTTTGAATTTGTCTTCAAGCATTTTTCTCAAATCAGCGAACTCGTCCTTGACCTATGTGAAAAAGGTGCATATTTTATTAATAATTGTATATAATCTTTTCAAATAACGTATATTTGAATTGTATATTTGATTACTGATTTTTTGAATGCTTCAAATTCATCACGCGAAATTGTAATGCTTGTTAACTTCTTAATTTGCCCCATTTGTATTCTG